ATTCTTCTAACCCCACTTGTCTTTCTGAGCCCGGGAACAGCTGTGATATTTCCTTTGAAAGAAGCAGAATGCTCTAACCCTTTGGATGAAAGACTGTTTTGAAGTGGCAGCTGGGGATTTGGAAGGATGAGTTCTATTGTTAAAGGGCAAGTGCGTTACGCTGCTGTAACACCTAGCCCTAACTCCAGATGGTGAGACAGGATGTGGGCTTATTAAAATAATATACAACAGAAATCTTCAGATTTCTTCAAATTTTATCAGATTATGTACCAATGTCCCCATGTCAGCTGTTTACGTATTCTGCATCCTAGGTTTTTCTGTAGGAAGCCTTTCCGGACCCCTCTCCAATTTGAATTATATTTCCTCCTGTCCTTCCGTCTCTCTCTTTTCACCCCCCCGCCCTCCACCATCCACTGGCTCTCCAGCAGCCTCTATCTTGGCGCTCATCACGCTGTGCTGTAGAAATTCTGTTACTCGTCTGCCTGCAGCATTAAACTGATCTCCTTGAAGGCAGAGGAGGCGTTTGATTTTATGTTTGTATTCCCAGTGCCAAGCACAGGGCTTAGCACCCTGTGGATTTTCACAAAGTCCTGAGTGAGTGAAATCCAAAGTAAAACTCAGAACCTAGCTCATGTCACAGAAAAGTGAATTTGTGGCAAGTCAAAATTGATCTTCCACAGCTGTGTTCTGTAGTGATGGAATGTCCTGTATCTGTTCGGTCCAACATGGTCGCCACCAGCCCAGGTGGCTGCTGAGCATGTGAAATGTGGCTTATGCAATGGAGGAACTGAAGTTTTGATTTTATTTTGAATAATTTAAAGTGGCCACCATATTGGACAGCACACTCTCAAGGCCACACTTCTCTATCCAATAAGGACCAGATATAACTTTTTTTTTTTTTTTTTGCGGTACGCAGGCCTCTCACTGTTGTGGCCTCTCCCGTTGCGGAGCACAGGCTCCAGACGCACAGGCTCAGCGGCCACGGCTCATGGGCCCAGCCCGCTCCGCGGCATGTGGGATCTTCCCGGACCGGGGCACGAACCCGTGTCCCCTGCATCGGCAGGCGGACTCTCAACCACTGCGCCACCAGGGAAGCCCCCCAGATATAACTTTGTTAGCTAGGGAAGCAGGCGTTCATCTTGTTCCTAACTTCATCGTGGAGGCTGAGAATGGGGGAGGTGGGGAATGATACAATACAAGAGAAAAGAGGTCTGTTTTCCCTCTTATATAGTGAAATACATCGAGGCCAGCGATTTTAGTTCCTCTCGATTTGGGAGCCTGGAGAGCATTTGGACTTCTAGTTGCATTCCTCTCGCTTCACCTCAGCCCCTAGAAGGTCATAGGACAAAATAAGATTGACCTCCGTCATCCTCGTTCGCAAATCTCAAGTGTCCAAAGGTACTTGGTCCAAAGGTACTTGGTACTCCAAAGGTACTCTTTAAGGTACTGACTTGCTAGTGAACTTGAACTGTATTGTGTGCTGGGTCCCATCTTAGGCAGTTTCATTAGTCCATTTCAGAGAGGTTGGTCTTCATGAAAACAGCTGGTCATCTTTTGAAATGAAAGGCAGCACACTTTCTTATGAGGGCCCGACCTTTTTATTTTCCAGTGAACTGAAGAGAGATTGGGTAGTGAGTGTATAGTCACCGCTTGGGGTGGGTTTAAGCAAATGTTAATTTAGAATGGGATGCTCATCAAAATGGAAAAGCCTAGCTCCCGTGTTTCTCGCTGTGGTAGTCATTCCCTGTGTACTGTAAAGGCCGTTGGGGTGAAAGAAATTTAGCCGCCTTAATGTGCTTGCCCTGAAGTCATGAACTGCTCTCGATTACTGTTTAACATCGTAATGCGTTCAGAGTTCCACTTCCCCAACAAGCCATTTACTTAAGGGTCTGGATAATGTAAACAGGGATGGGAGGTCACGAGAGGTACCGACATTATCCCGAGGCCAGCACTGCTCTACTGAAACGTAACTGTCTCCGAACTGAAAATGTCACCTGACTGCCCCCGGGGAGGTCTTTATGGACATCTCAAGTCGAAGTTGATTTTAAAAATGAATGAAACTCTTATTCCTCTCAAGAATGGAGCGTGAACTGTGGCTCTCTCCTTCATTTCACTTCATGGATGCTCATTTTGTCTCCTCCCCCCCCCCCCCCCCCCCCCCCGTGTTCCTTTTCCCTCTTCAGGTACTTAAATGTCGTCACCCACCAGTTCGCGGTTCTTTCTTACGCTGAACGTTTCTGTTGGAGGGCGGCAGGTGGAAGCCGAGGAGGGGTGGGGGAGGACCGTGATTAAACTGCTTGTGCTGCCTGGCCCGGGGCAACATTTTTATTTAAAAGTTGAGCTAATTTCTGATATTGACATGAAACTTGAGTGGACCCACTTGAGCGGATCTGGGTGACTTGGTGCTTTTAGGGACCAACATGCCCACCACCTTTCCAAAATGATTCCCTTGATATTTTTCTGACCACAGCAATAGTGTCATTACTGTATTTGACTCTTCTGGTTGCCCAGGAGGTCAAAGGCTCGGGGAAAGCCATTGGCTGCTGCAAAAAGAGAGAAATAGGTACCCGAAACCCCAGAAGGCTGAGGTTGGGGGGAACTTGACGGTCGCTTTTCTTCACAGAACCGCAGCCTCACTGCAGTTCTTTTGACATTGCGAGTGGGATGACTGCTGCTCCTTGAGCAGGGGGGCCCCTAACCTGACCCCGGGTCAGACAAAAACTTGTAGAATTGTGCCTCACTCCATAACTGTTCGTCCGTTGGCTGCTGTGCCACTCACCCCGAGCAAATTAAGCTACACATGTCCTCTTGGAGCCCCCGAGTCCTCACCCACAGAATGTGAGATGATGACAGCTCCCCCTCTGGTCCTTGGGACGTTGAGCTGTTGTCCATAAAGCATGCGCGGGAAGATGGATGAGTCGAGCCTTCTCTGTTAATGGGTGGTCTTCACGAAGTCAGGAGTTTTGCCCTTAACAGCGGCATTTTCTCTCCTGTGGGTCCAGGCTGCTTCGAATGCTGCATCAAGTGTCTGGGAGGAGTCCCCTACGCCTCCCTCGTGGCCACCATCCTCTGCTTCTCCGGGGTCGCCTTGTTCTGCGGCTGTGGGCACGTGGCTCTCGCGGGCACCGTGGCGATCCTTGAGCAACACTTCTCCACCAACACCAGTGACCACGCCCTGCTGAGCGAGGTGTAAGTACCTGCTTCCTTTGAAGATGTATTTAAAGTGCCACCACCCCAGGAGGGTTTACAGAAAGACTGCAGTGTGCTCACATGGGAGAAAATATACACTTTTCATTCACACTCCCTGGAGGCAGAGAGGAAAAGGTCCGGGAGAGAAGGAAAAAGAAAGGGCCAAGAGTGCAGTGGGTGTTTGGGACCTGGGGTGGGATCTCACCAGGGTGCACACATAGGACACTCTGCACACAGTGGCCGGGGGCGACGGTGGCAATGCTGCCAATCCTCCCACCAAGAGAGTTACCGCAGTTCCCAAGTAACAGTCGCCCTCCAGTGTTGTCACAGAAAACGGCCAGCCCTGGAATGACAGGAACCCTGTGGAGGACCTAGCCCAACTCTAAGTCTACAGGAACAGGACTTGGACATTCATTCTTCAAGCAGAAGAAAACTCCCCGGGTATCCTCCAGTTCAGAAGAGGGGACGTTGTTTGTAGGGGTTCAGCCTCAGCCTTCCCTTTCTGGAATCATTCTCAGTGGAGTCACAACAACTCCCATGCATGGATTCTCTAACCGTGCATGCCCGGCAGCAATGAATTTATTTCCTTCGTATATTTTCCCCTTGCCCTTCAGTGTTTCCTTTTTCCTTCCTTGACTACCAGGGTTTGACAGTCTTTAGATATCTTGTGATTGGAAGAAACTTTTCTACCAGACTTTTGAAAAAGGCACGAGTGAATTTTTATGGAACAATAACGGGATCCTCTGGGAAGAGTCCTTAGGGAACTTTATTCTTTTATCTGTTCAGGAAATGATTCCAAAGAAATGAGCAGCAGTGGGGGAGGCTATAAGGAGGATTGAGCAGGACAGTGGACTCGCTGAGTGCCAAATGTGTACAAAAAAGACCAAGAGGTATTCACCGTGACTGAGCCAGGGAAAGGTGTGTTAGTTTAATTAGCTGGTGATCTCGATGAGTGGCTCTCAAACTTCCAGCAATCTTTAAAAAAAATCCCCATGTCCACGTTTCACCCCAGACTAATTAAGTCATGGTCTCTGGGGAGAGGACGCAGATACCTGTTGTCTCTAAAGCTCACCAGGTAGTTCCAGTGGGCAGCCAAAGGTTGTCAGCTGCATCGCTGCTGGCTTTCATAGGACAAAATTAGATGTGAATTAACTTCTTTTTGTATCTACTTGATATATTATCACTTGTGACATGAGAACGTCTGTGCAGAAAGCGTTTGCCCACGTTACTCCTTAAAGCAGCCCTCAGTGCTTACTTAGGGGTTTTATCAGAATAACGTTAAGCACTAGGCCTGGTTGGGAGGCATTTTGATACGGTGGAAGGAACACGTCGTCCACTGAACCAGCGTTTAAATCCTGGCTGTGTGTGTATCCTTGGATGAGTGACTTTAACTCGTCAACGTCTGCATTTATAAGTAATCTCGTAAGTATTGAAAGATTCCAACTGGGCCCCTGTGCAAAGGAAACTTCTCCCTTGTCTGGGAAGGTTGCTCACCTTGGAAGAAAAGCTCAGGCTGCGGTGGGCTGGGCAGGGATGCCCACCTGCAACGCCCCATGAGCCCACCGAAGCCATCAGCGGGGCAAGTGATGTCACCCTGATGGCCCCCCTCCAGAGGCCAAAAACGTCTGTTAACCACTTGGACCTTCTTCTTTTCCTAGAATACAACTGATGCAGTATGTCATCTATGGAATTGCGTCCTTTTTCTTCTTGTACGGGATCATTCTGTTGGCAGAAGGCTTCTACACCACGAGCGCAGTGAAAGAGCTGCACGGGGAGTTTAAAACAACCGCCTGTGGCCGGTGCATCAGTGGGATGGTGAGTACGAATCTCTGATGACTGATAGCCAGCCAGAGCCACACCTCCACGTGTTTCTTTGTATTTGGTAAAAGCTAACAGAGTACGTGCAGAGTCCATGACGGGAGGAGTGTCCGTTCCAACTTAGAGTCAGGAATATGAAAAAACCCTCAACATGTTATTGAGGAGAAATTAAAATCTATGGCTGGTAGGATGAAATCAAGCATTTCTCTTATCAACGTCCAGATAACAAGGGTATTGAAGATTTTTCAAAGATAAAGTCCCCACTATGAAAGGAGATAGTTTTCCTATCGTCTCACTGCTCTCCTTCATTTATCTTCGAATATGGATTGTGGCCACGAAGACTCACCCATACTATGATGAATGGTCCCAGTCCCTCTGGCAGTGTTGACCAAGCATGCTTCCTACTAAGCACCTCGCTGGGGACTGTCCTCCAGAAGTTTAGAGCCTAAAGAGGGGGGTTAAGCCGGCTCCAGAGCCGGTCCGCCACCTGTTTTTATCCACCTATGAGCTGGGGAAAAAAACAAAGGAATAGTATCTTAGGACACACGAAATTCTATGCCATTCTAGGCTTGATGTCCATGATAGACTTTTTGGCACCCCGCCACACCCCTTCGTTGACACGGCGTCTGCGGCCGCAGTCATGCTGTAACGGCAGCGCTGAGGAGTGTCTGTGACCACACGTGGCCTGCGGAGCCTGACCCGTCCCCTCTCGGGCCTTTTGCAGGCACTGTTTGCTGACCTCTGGTCTAGAGGAGGACAGAGCCTAAAAGGGGCTCGTTAAGAGGCAGGGTTAGAAAGTGCCGTTTCACAGAAGGAAAGTCCGGGGTGGAGGGAGAGGTGGGAAAGGGGCGTTCGTGGAGTTTGATTTGGGGTGCGTTGAAGTGCAGCTCGTAATAGCCTGGGCCGAGCAGCTGGCTGGCGTTTGAGCAAGTGGTCGGATGTGACGAAAACACTTGGGGAGTTGAGAGAGACGTGCTCCCACAGAGGCAGAACGCCCAGGCTGGCTAAGGAAGGCAGGCAGGAAGGAAGGAAGATACGTACCCTCGCTGCGGGGCCGCGGCTCCCAGGGGGCACCGACTGAGCTCTCTGCTGTCACGAGGTAAGGACGCAGAGCCTGTCTTAAAAGACACGGAGTGCCCAGTGTTCCTAAAAATCCTCCTTAAGGGAGGCACAGAGAGTGTACGTACTTCTTTGGGCCCAGACGGGAGCCCAGGTAGGAAGGGGCCGGGAGAGCATGCGCTCGTTCCCGCGAGCAGCAGTAGAGCTGTGGGCCCAGGGCTGGGGTGGCGGGGTGGGGCGCCCAGGGAGGGCGGCAGCGGCACCCGGCATGGGGGGGGAGGACCCAGCCTGAGCAGAGCAGCCCCGGAGCAGAGGCGCTGCGGCCTGGCTGGCAGGGGAGGCTGGAGCCCAGAGGAGGGAAGGGATGCTGCTGCGGAGAGCAGACCGCGGCCAGATCAGGAAAGGCTTGGGCTGCCGGGCTGGGAATGACATCGAAAGACAGGCAGGCTGTGACGGGACCACGCACAGGGGCAGCAACTGGAGGAAGGTGAGCAAGAGGGCATCGATCGCGAGACTCCGGGCTCGTGGGGAGTGAGAGCACAGAAGGGGGCACAGAGGCGAAGCCTGCGGGCGAGGCGGGCTCCGGGTCTGCTGTACGGGAGTTGAGCGCGCGAGGAGGGGGCGAGCCGAGGACGCCGCCCGGCGTTGGGGTGCCCGGGTGGGTGCGCGTTCTGAAAATATCAGACCCACAGCGTTTTTGAAACAGCCTTTTCAAAGCTCTCTGAAAAGCGGTAGTCCAAGCAGGTCAAGAAGAAAGGAAAGCCGTAAGATCCTGTTCCTGGTGAAATCGCCCATGACAGCACGTGGGCCAGCACGATGAAGCCTCTTCCCGCGGGAATTTAGGAAACTGGTACGGAGTTATAATTCAGTGGCCTGTGAAAGCCTCCAGCCAGTGGTGTTTAGGAGGAGTGCCTGGAGGAGGCCCTGTCACCAACTAGCTCTGTGACCTTGGACAAGGGAGATCCTCTCGTGGCCACTCACGTCCTTGCTAAAAGAGGGACCCGCAAAGTTCCAAGACTTCCCTTGTCACTGCCGTGGTCCAGGCGGTGCTCTGACCGCGTCCCACAGGTTTGGTATCGGCCAGGAAATGCGTCATCACTCCTCCCGGGGGATGTGCTTTGCCCTGGTCGGTGACGATTCTTTCTCCTCCTCCTCCTTTTCGGCCTAGTTCGTCTTCCTCACCTATGTGCTGGGAGTGGCCTGGCTGGGTGTGTTTGGCTTCTCTGCGGTGCCCGTGTTTATGTTCTACAACATATGGTCAACCTGTGAAGTCATCAAGTCCCCCCAGACCAACGGGACAGCCGGGGTGGAGCAGATCTGCGTGGACATCCGGCAATACGGTACTTCCTTTTCGTCTCCTCGATTCATTGGTATCCTCTTGTGCATGTGTCTGGGCCTTAGTTATTTACATGGGCATCTAAGCATCCAGATGGATTTCATCCCTTCTATTGGAAGAGGTTATTATACTCTTTCCCTCAATGTGCTCCACTCTTTTCCTCAATGTGCTCCATTTTCTGGACGGAAACAGCAGTTAGGCTCTAAAGGGTCATTTTAGGGTACAGTAAAAGAAACTTTTTATAATGCAGTTCAATCAAAAAAGACGTGTGGATATCCACTCTAAAAAGAGTATATATTTTTCCTTCAACTTCTTTTCGGTTTTGTACCATCCAATTTTCCATCCAGAACATTGCATGCATTGTATAATCCAGTTACTCTGCACATTCACCTCTTTAAATCAGGTCTTTTTTAAATGACCATATTGCTTTAACATAAAATCCAGGTGTATTTTGAAGTCATCAGAAGGTACTCTGTCAAAGCCAGCTGTTGGAAAAAACCTGTTCACACGTATTTTCTAATGAGTGGGATCCTTACCCTCAGCAGCTAAGCAGGCCACAGAAGGGGCCAGGGCGCCTCCTGTCCATCACTGTAGACCCGACTTCCCTGCTGAGGGAGAGAAGGCAGTTTCAGTAGTGCTTCTGGCCAGGATGGTAGGAAATCCTGTTCTTGGCAGAAACAACTAGGAGGAAAAGAAGAGCTTTTCATTAGAACTGAAGAGGAAATCATTGTTCTTTCAGAGCTTTTCTGCTTCTTATTTTTCCTGTCTGGCTTCTCCTCAGCATCTTACCTTGAACCATAATACGAAACTCACCTAAAATTGCCCATCGGACTAATCTCATAGAGCCAAAGGCTCACCCACACTGTTCTTTAGTCTCTGTTTTCAGTCCGTCCTAAAGTTGATTGCTAAAGGATTTGTAAGTGAATATCTAGATGCATATATCATTTCCCTCTTCTTAAATATTCACTACAAATGTTTGGTCATCATTTTTTTAAAATGTTCTAGATTTGAAACCTGTAGTTTCGTTTCCCATTCCTCTGAAGCAGAAAGGCTTACTGTTGCTCCATAGCAAAGACGGAAGGAATAAGGAGTGTTTCGTTAAAATCCTCCTTCCTTATTAACGCCTGGGCGAAGGAGAACTTGCCCCATGTCAGATTTAAGCACACACCTAGGCGTTAACGGCAGAAAGGGCAGCAGCAGCCGAGTGGACGAGGTGCCTGCAGAGGTGAGCTGGGTCCAGTGAGAGACACCACGGGCCGCGCTCTCTGTGCGGAAGGACAGTGGTTTTCCAGGTTTCCAATTGGAGCTTCAGTCCAGAAGCATTTCCGAGGTACTTGTAAAACACAACAAAAATGAATAGAAAAGCAAAGACACACATACAAAATGGAAACCCAAACTCTAGAACATATTTACTCTGTCGAATGGCCGTGAACCTTTCTGAGCACAGCCTCCCAGTTTCAGAACGGATCTTGGGGTGGACCACTGACATCAAGCTTGAGGGGTGAGGCCGCAGACCATGAAATTCAGGGGGAGATGTGTCGGTTTGGCTTCAGGAGGAGGAAATGCCTGTGAGGGGGGTTGTCCTGCGGCTGTTGAACTAGAGTTCAGGACTGTCAGCTCAACTAAGCAAAGCAGAATTCGTAGGGGAAAAAATTGAGTTGTCTGATTCTCCTATGGACTAGTTAGTTGACTTTGCTCTTGCCCTGTTGTCCAAATAGGACTTTTTATTCCCAAAAGCTTGTTCTACAGGGAGCAGGTACATCAGTTGTTGAAGAAGTCAGCCGGTCATTGTGTTGTAACTGCCACTGAAAGTGGTGGGGCCCGCTGAGAGCAGGGGCGCTGGGCTTTGCACTAATCACTAAGCTTCTATTGGGATTCGCTTCTCAGGTATCATTCCTTGGAATGCCTTCCCAGGAAGAATATGTGGCTCGGCCCTGGAGAACATCTGCAACACCAATGAGGTAAACCCCGCCCCCTCAGCGGGCTCCTAGATGACCACTGGGCAAAAGAGGCTGAGAGAAGGGGTTCTCCTAGGGACAAAGAGCGAGAGGGCTCTCTGCCTCCCGTTTTGACCTGGAAAACGGCCCTGGTCCATGGCCCAGCCCACTGAGGGAGGAGCCTGCGCCGTCAGAGAGCTTTCTCTTTTGGCAATAATTCGAGGGTGAGCCCAGTCCTGCAAGCCTGAATACATATGTAGATTCTCCTCTTTCACCTTCAGATAGTGTTTCAAAGTAGGACACTTGTCACAGAGCTAAGGTAAATTTTCATAGAGAAGATTGCCCTGAATTTGTCGTATACAAGCACATTTTTATACATTGGCACTTCGTCTCACGTTTCCAGACGGAGTTGCTCCTGTTTCTTGTTCATCCTTAATTGGCAATAAATCCTGACACACTATGATTTAAAATCTCTCTGCCCTAGAATAGTCTTTAGGCAGTGGTTTATAACTGTTTATAAAAGCAGGTTCTCAAATGCACTCGTGGAAGCTTGCCTTTGGAAGCCGCGAGCGACTGAGACCGGCAGGGCCCGCCGACCTGGCTGCTCTGCGTGTATGTCCAGGATCAGACTGCAGGCACGCCGGCGCAGTATCATAGCCTGACGCCGGGGCCCAGCCCCCAGCTTCTCCGCTGTAACGGGTCTGGGGTCCAGCCTGGGCCGCAGGAAGTTTGGAAAGCCCCGCAGGTGATTCCAGCACGTGCCCAGCCTTCACAAAACAGCCCTAGAGGAGAAAGAGGGAGCTGCGGCCGGATCGGGGGAGGCCATTTCCTTCCACATAAAATGCTAACGTTGGCGCCCTGTTCTTTCCTAGTTCTACATGTCCTATCACCTGTTTATCGTGGCCTGTGCCGGAGCTGGCGCCACCGTCATTGCCTTGGTGAGTACTGGCCCCAGGACGGGCCTAGTGCAGTCCCCCACTTCCCTGCACTCACTCTAATAACAGACTTCCCTTCCAGCCAACAAGCCTGGGACTCGACCTTGGTTCAGTTTCCCCTGTGTAGACTTACCCCATGTCTAGACTGCAGGAAGTACGAGGTGGTGGTCTAGGCATCCATGGTGGGTGATGCAATTTGGATTCTGTGGCAAGAATCAGTTTGCTTCTGTTTAAAGAAAGACATCTTACTGAGTATATATTGCCGACTGCTGAACAGCACTGTAACTCAAACCTGAACGAAGTTTAACACACGTGTTTTCTCCGTAAGGCCCCTCGCCGCCTTCCTGTGCTTAGGGACCCTAGCCAGCCCTGCAGCATGCCGGTGAGGGAATGCGTAAAGAGCGAAATCACAGAAATGCAAACTCCATGGCACTAAATAGAGGATGAAAAGGACGCTGGTTTACAGCCCGAGAGTTGCCACAAGAAGGCAGAGTGGTGCCTTGGTTGCCTCAGCTTTTCCCCCACTCTGCATGTCCGAATGGCCATGGCAGTGCCCTGAGTCCTGACCTGGGAGTTACAGAGAAATTTTAGCACCAAGGCAAATTCACACATAGGGAGGGTGCAGCCACACAGGTGTATGTGTGTTTGTGTTTGTGTGTGTGTGTGTGTGTGTATAACATTTGGGAGGGCTGGGTTTGTGGTGTCGAGAAATCTAAGACTCGTAGAGAAGAGGGGAAATCTCATGTGCTCGGAAATGAGTCCTTCCCAGTTTTTCCAACCTTGACGTCATCCCTTCCCCTTCCAGCCAGGGAAAGAACCACCGGCTACATCACTGGGGTGACCTGTTCTCTTCACTGAGCAACAGGCAGGCACAGGACTAACAGCTGCTGAGTGGGCAGCGTGGGAAAGAACGAGGGGAAACAGGGCTCTTACCCTCATCTTTCTCATGCTGCTCACCCAGCTCTGTTATTTTTTAAATACATCCAGTCTTTTTCATAAACGTACTGACGGGAGAGCAGAGGACTTACTTATATGTGAAATGCCAAATAGGAACTTGTGTGTGTGCCAGCTATGAAAAATCTCCTCTTACGATTATAACTGGGAAAAAAGCAGCACGCCGTAGGCTCTGAGCTGGCACCCATCCCCACCCGAGCTTAGAAGCGTCAGGGCACCGGCCCTCATTGCCTGTATCTTACTGTCCTGTTCTGTTCTCTTCCACCAGCTGATCTACATGATGGCTACTACATATAACTATGCGGTTTTGAAGTTTAAGAGTCGGGAAGATTGCTGCACTAAGTTCTAAATTGCATAAGGCCAATAAGGAGCTTTAGAGAGCTATACGCGGTAGCATGAAGTATCACTGACCCCCAGACTAAAGCAGAGCCTAGGTTTCTGCAGTTTTGTTCTAGTAATTCGTAAATCGCTTTAGTCAACTCGTTGTGCATGGTAGATTAATGAAGTGACTTACCGTCCATGAACTACAAAATAATGAGATCTGGCTCTTTCCACCTTCTGGAAAGGATTCAGTTATGTACTGACATTGGTGAGCAGCCACTGAAAAACTGAACCGAAACTACTTTGGGCAGTAGTATCTCTAAGTATTAAAACTTTGGAATACCTGCATTTTCCTTTATTTTTGCTTGTCTGATAACCAATTTCAGTGATGAAAACAAGCGCTGAAGATGCAGTGGAGGAGAACCGTTTTCATGGGGATTTGGTCTTGGCAGACTCTGTCTGGAAAATATTTTACAAACAGTCTAAATTTGATTACAACATTATTCTAAATTTGAGTACAACATTTTCTTTATGATTACAGGGCTCACTACCCAATAAATGCCCCTCAAGTAAGCTGTTTTTCTTCAAGTTTTCGTCGGCTTATTTGTTATCTCTAAAAAGACGATTTATATGTAGTTTTATTTTTACACAACGCCATCAGTCCTTTCAGAGCCCCCAGAATTGATAACCTCAGAGTGTTGGCTTTGGGTGAGTAGTAACTGATGCCTCATAGCCACTTCTCAAACTGCACGTAAGAGTTTATAATGGGGAGAGTAATTGTGCTTGGATCGGAAAGTCTCAAATATGGCGAGAAGGAACTTGTATATAATATAAGGAACTTGAGATGTAGGTGTTGCAGGAAAGATGAGGAAAAGAAGCGGGAAAGAAGTGTTTGCCACATCAACTGTAAAGAATGATAATAAAGATTTTGACGTTTTGTGAAATGAAATCATGGCAGTTATAAAGTGAAAACTGTAGTTGCACTACCAAAAATGTGTTAACACAGAGACTGCATGCTGGGCTTCTAGTTCTTAATTTTGGTATTGACATTCACTTCATTTTTACATGTTAAAGATGTAGTTTTATATTATTTACTCAAAATAAACATTGTTCACACTTTCAGGCCTTTCGGGGAATTATTTCTATCCACGGATAGATAGGAAAGCTAGATCTTTGCACAACACTGATTCTAAAATAACCCCACAGCGTGTTTCTGAATCTCTGCCTTTAAAGTTACCCTCAAAATGGTAAAAAGCGCCCTGTCGTATTTCACTTTTGCCTTTTCTTAACAGTAACTTCTTTGGCCATTTTTTCCAAGTTCATTATGTTTGTGTGTGTACTAACTTTTCCTCAGCCTCTTACTATGAAGCGTCTTAGCAGAGCATGCGCTCAGTCTCCGATGCCTCTGATTGATAGCAGAAGGAGTATTAATACGGAATAACCACCTCTCCCTTTTTCCAGTACAGAGCGTCTAATCTACCTCGCAGCTCGCTTTGCCTTCTCACATGCTCACTAGCCATCATGCTCACCCTTCTTTTCCAGATCCACTTCCTCATGATACTGTCTTCTAACTGGGCTTACTTAAAGGATGCAAGCAAAATGCAGGCTTACCAGGATATCAAAGCAAAGGAAGAACAGGAACTGCAAGATATCCAGTCTCGGTCAAAAGAACAACTCAATTCTTACACATAAATGTTTGCCAGAGGGTCTCAGCCGACGAATTTACAGCTGACAAATCATCAGACAGCTGCTCTGCAGTACAGATGTGTACCCCACCAAACAAACTCACGTAGAAGTCCAAACAAACACTTCACTGTCTGTCTCAAGCTGCTGGGATGTATTTCTAGGAAAACCTTCCAGTAGGTAAATCTTCTTCTTTAGAACAGATAGTGGAGGTTTCATGGGAGCCATTTTAAAAGGCAACACTTTGACAAAATGAGTATCCATTTGAAAATCTGTGGCATGTTCACGATCCTACCAGGACAGGCTGTGAGAATACATCATACCCCTATCTTGACAGGGACCGTGCCATACCAGCATCAGGGGGTGTGACCATCCGTTCTCAAATAGATAAATGTATCTAAAACAGGAGATAAAGTGGAATTGATGTGAAGTTCCATTTCTGACAGACAGCTGACATTTATGAAGCTGCGGCTCAAAGATAAAGTGATCCTTACAATTGACCTTTTTTTAAAAAAATAGCTGACCTCTGCACCCGCAGGACGTATTAATTTCCTGATCCAATCAGAAATCCTTTTTTCCCAAGAATGTTAAAATGAGCCCACTATAATAATTCTGCTACACCGAGCGTGGAAGAAGCCGGATTTCAACTGACAAACTTTCCAGAATCAGTTTTATAATAGATTTCATTTTAATAAAGTGACCCAGTTGTCATCATAAAGTGACCCAGTTGTCATCATTCTTGAGAAATGTCAGCTCTGCCTTAATGAGTATTTGCTTTAAATTTCTAAGAACAACAGGCAGCCCCAAATCCTTCATAGAATTTTGTTCCACAAGTGTTTTTCTTCATGGAGAAGTGTTACCTTATTAAAATGACCACCACTCAAAACCGTTTTTACGTGGTCTGAATAGTGAGTTTACAGTTTCATACCAACTATATAGCTAAAACCGAATGACCAACAGACCGCACACCACCTACTTTTATACACTTGAATACTGAAGTAATTTCAATTAGGGTTGGTATTTATTTCACTTTTTTCTTATCTAAATCTTAGTTTCCTGGAATAATAAAGTTCAGTGTTCAGCAAAAAAAAAAAACCCAAAAAACCCCCCACAAAAACAACAACAACAAAACCCAACCGCTTGAGTTTTAAGCCATCTTCGAAAGAAACTTGCCTTCTAAATCATTGTGTTTCAGAACATTAAGTGACTATAGGTATTGAGTATTAGTGATGGTAAACTTTGTGTTGTTCTTTAGGAAATGATACATATAACTGTTGGGTGCATTAGTGCTTTTCAAAGGGGGCTGCATAATATAGGGTTAACTATGTATATTCATGTTAAGAATTAACTTGTGGTTTGGCTGTTCCCTGGATTTTAAAACGTATCCATGTGCAGAAATGTGTTAAAATGAGAGGAAGCATACCTTTATCAGATGCTATTAAAATTGAACGTCAAGTATAATAGTTCATTTCGATTCTTTTTGTTGGTGTTGTTAATGCCTAAAAAAATGCCTATTGGGATCTTGACTTTTTTTTTTTTTTTTTTAATTGGGAGACATTCTCTTCTGTGTAGAACAGTTGTTCCGGAATAGCTTGGTGTTTTGTTTTCCTGTTGCATGACAGACTTAAATATTTTTTCCAGCAGTGGAGGTGCTGTTTTGAGTCCAGTGTTCTAGAAGAGGCAGTGTCTAAAGCCTAATTTTACTTTTCTAATTCTGGTAGCCATTACCATGAATTTTTGAAAGTTTTGTTTAAGTAGTCTAATATTTTTTATGTAAAGAGCATTAAATTTTGCTATGTATAAATTTTTGTAACCTAACAGTGAATCAATATTTTCTATCAGTGCCAAGGGCTTCCTGTAGTTCAAGTGTTACAATAAATATTTGTAGATAATAGTCAGTACTTGTGTATGCTTATTTTAAAGATCTATTTAGGTGGCAATAGCTGTGGATGTATTAAGAGAAATGAAATAAAAATTATAGCTTCGCTCACTTGCCTTTTTACCATACATAAATAGTGTCCTTCTCTGTCCTCGGTATGGTGTCATTTTTAAACAGTGTGCGTAATCAAGATTCCACATTTGTATGGAGATCAAGTTTCTAACTGCTACATGTTTCATTTCTGACGGAAACCTCTTTTAAAGCAAGAGCAAGTTGAGAAACCACCGTAACCCACGGGGCTGTATTTTACATCAAGTGCCACTCACACTTCAGTATATAATTTTTCTGACTAGCTTCATACTTGGTTATGGGATTAACACAAAGCTTTAAGTTCGGGGAAAGTGGAAACAATGAGGAACCTTCATAAAGGTCCATGTCCCATTGACTGTTTTACAAACCCAAGATCTAGACGTCTACTCCACAGCAGGGTCCTCCTGTGTACAGCACAGGGAACTATACTCACTATTTTGTAATAAACTGTAAGGGCAAAGAGTCTGAGGAAGAGTAGATATACATAGATATGTACAAGTAAATCAATTTGCTGTATACCTGAAACACAGCACTGTAGATCAACTGTACTTCAATTAAAAAACTACTGAGAGAACAACTATTTACAGCCAACAGCCATTCGCTAAAGCAACAGAGCTAAATTTGTTACTTAGTATTTCATTTTATCATCTCTTATCTGTCAGCATGATTATACATTTGGACTTTGTACAGCTGACCTTTCTTAGTAACGACCGGCTTTTGTCGCTATTGACACACTGACGTTTCTAACTGAGGTGCTGCCTCCGGTCATCGCCCTCGATTCACGCTCAGCAGGAGAGCCAGCAGGAGCGCAAGCAGTACGCTGTTGGTCACACTGCTTAATACCTTCTGTTTATGGAGCACTGTGTGCAGTTATGAAGTTACAGAAGACCACATGCACTATCTTAATTACTGACAGCAATCCTGCCACAAAATATAGCAACTCCGGGAGGGTGAAGTAGAGACTTTTCCACTGCTCTAGTTAGACCTTGTGCAACTTGATGTTTAAGAAATGAAAATCAAGTCAGAATTATACAGGAGGGACCTACTCATGTAAACACCAACAAGCAAAATACTTTAAGTCCATTAAAGAGTGATGACCGAAGTTTCCACAATAGAAGTTTTGAAAAAAATCCTTTTAGGGCTTTCTAATACTATTCTACTCCTAATCCAAGCTAACCTCAGACACTCTGGGTTCAGTTCCAGACCACTGCGATACGGCGACTACCACAGAGTAACATGAATTTTTTGGTTTCCCAGTGCATATAACAGTTATGTTTACACTATACTGTGTAGTCTAGTAGCATGTGCA